ATAATGATGTTATTTTAAATAAAGATAATACAAATCATTATAATTTATCATCATTATCTCCTTTTGAACAACAAAAATTAACAAAATAAAGAAAAAGAAGAATCAATTAATAATTGAGAGGTCATTAGAATTTAATTGTTCTTTTAAACTCTTCAAGAGTCTTTACCTTAAAGTCCCTTTCTATAACAAAGTGAGGACCATACTTTGATAAATCAAAGGTATAGGATTGCCTGCATATAAATATTCATATAAGGCAATCACATCCCTTTTGAACTTCTCATTGGCTGTGCCAATGATTACATCCTTAGGGATTCCTTTCATTCTTATCAAATAATCAATGTCCCCATCTTCATTGGTGAGGACATCAAGGTAAGACTTCTTACCTAGAAAGATAGACTTAATTGCCCAACTTTCTTTTCCATTCACTGGTGGGAAGTCAGAATGGAATTGACCTATGTCATTTCCCACTAATTCACTATTATATTTGATATAATAGGATTCTCTCAATTGAACTAATTTATCTTTTTCAATATGTATACTATCAGTATCCTGATAATAAACATTTATGTTATTATCTTCACATAAGTAAATTAATTCATTCATAATCCTTTTAGACATAGAAAGGATCAATACACCAATAATATTAGGTACATAAAATTCATCCAACTGTTTCTTTGTTTGAAGTACCCAAATATCTGATTCAAACAATTGTTCTCCTGATAAAATATCTTCTAAATTTCTTCTCCAATAGGAGAGCATTTTTGTTCTTGTTCTAAAGATTTTTTTCTCTACCATTATAGGTTTTTGTATTGTTTTACCATAACAGGAATTCATTATTAATTTAAATATTACTTCACTTGGATCATGTTCTACTTTCTTTTGTTTTCTTATATTATATATTTCCTTTATCTTTTCTTTGAATAAACTAACTTTTCCCCCTTCCCAATAGATTCCTTCTTTTACTTCATATTCAATTTCTTGATATTTAATTAAATCTTCTAAGTATATTGAATCAACTGTCATTATTGTTGGTTCATTAACATACTGATTAATTCCTTTTACTTTTTTGATGATGATAGGCATTTTTCTTTTCTTATTTACTTTAGTAATTTCTATTGTTACTATAAAATATGAAATAAATCGATATTGTGTAGTTTCATATTGTTGTTCTTTCATTAAATGTTCCAAATACCATTCTATTGGTTTATTCATAACACGTGGAACTCCAGATGGAAGAAACAATCTTGCTACAGCAGAGGGATAAAGACTACATGCGTCAAAATCTACTATTTGACCAACAACATAATGTTTTTTATTTTCTCCTGTCATATTTCTACCCCCATAGATTGCTTTTTTAATATATTCTCTAACATTTCCTGTATACTCGAACAACATGTCTTTAGTAAAACAATTAATTTTAAAGAAGTTATAAGCTAATGAACTCAATGTTGTATAATCTGTACAGTCTAATTTCAAATTATTCTTTACCATTTCTCTATACTTTAAAAATCCTTCTCTAAGTACCATAACATCTCTCAGACAGTAATATTCACAATATTTTTCTGTATTAAAATGATTATCATCAATTTTACAATGTGTTTTATTAATATTTTCTTTAAATTGATAAATCATATCTGAAGACCAATGAGGTACTTCTTTATTCCAACAATTATTTATTACCCCTATCTGCATAGTTTCTTCATTATAATAATTATATGGAAAGATTTCTTTTTCATAATCCCCTTCAAGTTTAAAGAATTGTTTAAATTTGGAGATACTTGTTGGGATTAACGCAAGTGTATCTTTAAAGACTATCTTCTTTCCATTTATTTCAATTGTCATTTTATATATCATCTTCCCCTTTTCAATTATATCATTAATTCCATATTTTGCAAAAAATCTTCCATCATATCCTAAGTTATGGAAGTAACATAAAGGAGATTTAATTGTTTGAATATATTCAATAAATTTTGATGCACAATTTATTCCATAAAACTTTTTCCATATTCCATTTACATCCATTACAATAATGCAAAATGGTTTATGATAATCACTATTTGTAAAGCATTCAAAATCAGCAAATAATATTGTGCTTTCTCCTTCTTTCTTTTTTGGTTCTTCAATTAGTTTTGATTCATCAAATACTAGATTAATATTTTCTGGTGTAAACAGAAAAGAATCATAATATTTTTTCTTTATCATATAATCTCTTGTTATTTCTTCAATTGCCCCTTGTTCTTTTAATAATTCTAAACATTTATTTATTGTAATAAATTTTGTTAATGAGTGTTTATATTCATTTTTCTCTTTTTTAACAACATTAAAATATTTCTCTAAATCTTTCCCTTTTTCATTACAATAATTTATTATTTCATCATAATGTTTTATAAAATATGATGTAATTGGGACTTTTTCATCAATCACATAATGAAAGTTATTCTTCCACCGTATTAAAAACAGATTTATTGTTCTTTCTCCATAATTAATATTATTTATAACAATCTTACTTTTGTTATAATATCGAAGAATAATATTTAATTTATATTCCTTTGCTATAATATCAATTATTTTCTTTGTGACTGAATTTCCTTTTAGCTTTGTTTTAATTTGAGCTAATTCATTCTTTGTTAAAAGTCCACTTTCATGAAGGGAATTGATAAAACAATTTTCAACATTGGTAATTTCTTCTTTAAGATATATTTGATATCTTCTTAAAATGTTTTTCAATGGAGCCCAATGTTCTGTTAAGAAGTAATTAAACAATGCTCCTTCAATTCTTTCTCTTTGTGGAGGTTTAACTATTGATATGATGATTTCTTTTACTATTTTTCCTGGTGGAATATATAATTCACTTTCTTCATCATCATATCTCCTCCAAAATTCTTCTATACCAACATTAAACCCCACACATCTATTAATGAATTCTTGTGGTTCGACATTTTCTAAATTAATAATAAATCGTCGTTGTCGACCACCAAATACAAACTCAACTAGGGGGATTAAGTCATGTTGTTTAATTAATTGACTTATTCTATAGGTTTCCCCTAGCATACCACCCCATACCTGCGCAGTATATTCTAGCCCAAAATCTCTTCTTCTAATAATACTGAATTCTATTTCTTCATCAGTATTATTTTCTCTTGCCAGACGGATTAGATGCAATTCATTTTCTGTAGGTTCTATTCTATCTAGAGTGAGGAAATCTAATGTAACATATTCCTCTTCATTGAGTATTTCCTCTAGAATAGCTTGAACCTCTGCATCAGATAATGTATCATCCGCTGGTTGGGCTATAATAGGTGGGGCATAAGGGGTTTCTTGAGAGGGGTCAGAGGGGGCATTTTGAGGAGGGACAAAAGAGGGGTCTAATTGGGGATCTTCTATTAAAGAAGTAGTACCAGCACTAGCTCCGCTAACTACTCTATTATCAGCAGTACCACCAATAATAGAAGTAGTTCCGTACTCTCCAATAGTGCGGGTATTTCTTCTTTTTCTTTCAAGAGAGGCAATAGCTTCTTCACGTCTTTGACGATATTTTTCTAAGTCAAGACGTCCAGTCTCCCTCTCTCGAAGAAAATCGTTAATTAAACGATTTTCACTGGCTTCTCTACGTTGTCGAACACGATCCCCGATCGTTTCGAAGCCAGAAGATCTATGAGAGTCAGTTTCTTTTCTTTCCAACTCTTCATAGTCTTTCTTTTGCATTGTAATTCGTCGTCTTTGGCGTCGACGACGATTTTCTTCATAATTATTAATTTTAATATTATTATTTCTGAATGACATTGATTGAATGGTTATTTAAGATAAAAAATATATAAAAATTAAATTCAAAAAGTTCAAAAAGTGTAATACTTCATAAAATTGAAAATACAAAAAGTGTAATACTTCAAAATACGAAAAGAATACCTCAAAAGAATGTACCCAGATGTCAAAAAAAGATGAATTCCATATTCTAAATATAAATAAAAATATTGTTATATAAAACATAATCTATTTATATATAAAAGTGTTATATAAAACATAAAACATAGAAATGTTATATATCCCAAAAGGACCAAAATTTCCCACTACGTACTACATGATGCTATCACACTATCGTCAAATTGTACCATAAAAAAATTATTATAAAAAGAAAAAAATAAAATAAATTCTAATTTAAGAAAATTAAAAAAATAAAAATAAAAAAATTAATTATATTATATTAAATTAAATAAAAATTAATAAATAAGAAACAGTAAATCTTAATTTATCTATTTCATTTTACTCAGATGAGATTATATCATTCATTTTCTATTGATTAATTTAATAATTTGTTCATGATGTACTTCTCTATATTCAATTCCATAATATCATTAGTATTTTATTATATCTTTTATGTTGATAATAATTATATCTTTTATCATTATTTCATATCAAATTAAATACAATATTCTTTTATCATTCTTAATGATTATATATTGATTAATCCATTTATTACTACTGGAATTACTTTTACTCCTTTTAGTTTGTTAATTTATCTTATTTTTTTATAAGAGTTCTATTCATTTCAATTTTTTTAGTAAATATCAGAATTACCATTTTATCAATACTATTGTTATAT